TAGATGGATATGGATAGATACTACAGTAGATAGGATGGATAGATGGATATATAGATAGATGGATAGATAGATGGATAGATGGATAGATAGATACAGTAGATAGATAGATGGATAGATGGATAGATGGATAGATAGATACAGTAGATAGATAGATGGATAGATGGATAGATGGATAGATAGATACAGTAGATAGATGGATAGATGGATATATAGATAGATGGATAGATAGATAGATAGATGGATAGATAGATACAGTAGATAGATAGACAGATACTTTATTGATCCCAATTTGGGAAATTATTTTGTTACAGAAACAGCATTGTGTTCAGACATTAAAATACAATTAATTAAGAAGTGGAAATAGAGAATTAACTATTACAAATGTAATGGAAATGAAAAATATTATATCAAATATAAACGTAAAATATTCTGGATACTTAACCCAAAATACTGCAGGAGCAGGAATATAGGCTTATACTGCAGGAGCATACTGTTTATCCTCCAAAGACCCACCCATTCATTTGTGTCCTCTGTGGAGCACATTGGGTTCTGGTCCATTACTTTGAGGTTACACATGCTACAGCATTGAGTCCAATTGTACTCCACAGAGGACATCCTGGGCGTTTCAAACATATGACATATGTGGGGGTGTGGCTTTGAAAAAGATAATTTCATTGTATTTCAAAATGGCGTCCATCAACACAAGCACTATTTATAGAAAGAGAAATGGTAAGTTTGTAATTTTGTAATTACCCGTGTTGTGAGTTCAATATTTTAATTAATTATAGTAAGGGAACATCTTAGGAGTTAGTGTAGTGAGTTTTCAGAGCAGTGTAATACTTATTTGACCTAAAACTAAATGTTTTTATGAATGCCCTCTGAGGAGGACATGGGGATTTGCTAACTTTTTATTTCCCCCATTTTACACAACACAAATGGAGTCCACTATGGGCCAAAACTAACACGTAGGTTTCTGTAGGGTTCATGGCAGACGGATGCAGTGGGAAAACATACATCAAGTGCCTCAAGTGTCAGATGTATCTCTGCATTTCACAAAAGGATGGAATACTACAAATGAGGGCTCAGTATTTGTTGTTGTGCTCTAATGTTGTCTAAATGTACTTGTATGTTAATGTTGTTTGTATACTATGCTTCACATAACTAACACCCAATGTCCTCTGCAAACGACACACAATAAAACAAAAATATATTTTTTTAGTTTGTGTTGGTCATGTTTATCCAGGCCCTTTTTTGTTTTATGTATATATGTCACACTGTGGGAAATGGTATCTCGAGATTTCTGTATGTATAACACAAAATAAAGCTGACTTTTGACTTCTTGTCATTATGTTAATACCACCCTAAAGACTTGTGTGATAAAAAAAGGACATTTGAAACCTTTTCTTTCTGGGTCTAAGGATAGTATCATTTACAGATATACAGAAAATTGCAAATTGTTCATTGTAATGAGTCTTTTTACGGCGTCAGGAACATTTTTAGAGTAAATCCACAACTTTATGGGTTTTTCTACTTCAACTTCTAATGAAAGCCGGAATGCCTTTAAACTACAGAAGTAGAAATGTCGTCCTTTGTGCTAAATATAAAAAGAACAGCGGTTTGGTACAACCAGGAATTTGGTTTGTAAACCATGAATGTAAGACGGTTTTTACAGTTAATCTTTGTTTTCTAATCCAAATGAATTTGTCTAACCTGGAGGCTTGTTGACCATCTGTTGGATCAACTGACAGTTTCAGCAATAATGCCACATTTGGTGAATTCAGCAAATACTTTGGTGAGTACAACAAAGTATTTAGGAATAAAACTAATGACAAAGTACAAGAAACACAACAATGTGATGTGAAATTGTTTGAATAACTATACAAATGTTGCATATACAATGTTTTCACAGAGATAAACTGTTCCATATTAGCTGCCATTGAAATGGATGCATCGTCAGACCTTCTGACCCCTACCTTTAATTTGGGGAGTCGCTTGATGGTCTTCAGAGGACGCAACACCCTCAGCACACGGAGCGACTTTATCGTACTGATGTCTTTGCCCTTACTGCTCCCCCTAGAGGTCCACCAAGGAACAACAGCAGTGTCAGAATTACAGAGCACAGTGAAAACATGGACGATCATAAAGGGTTCTTACTGCACCCTCTAATGGCATTTTTACATTGAATTGATCTTAAACATAATCTCAATGGTCTATCAGCACATGACAACAATAGTCTTGATTAAAACAAGTACAGTTAATCAGTGAGGACAATTACAGCTCTAACAGAAACCTGAGTGCACGTCAAACATGAAACCAGTGGAGGGAAAAGCGATCAGTTGCCTGGCCGTTTGGTTTCATGGACATTAAGAAGCTTCATCATATTATTATTTACACCAATAGACATTCACTCAGTGCATACCGACAGGCATGTCCCGGCAGAATGCCCAGCCAAACTTCTTTCTTTCTTTTTCAGTGAAAAACGCTGTTCGGTTCTTCGGTAGAAATGGGCGTTTTAGATGAAGCGTAAGTGGCTAGGATTACGTAGGTATAATCCTGATGTTGGACACACTAAATGAACTGATTCAGGTTTGTTTCACATAGCTTCCTTTCACTTAATTCCAGATTTCAGAAAGAATATGTTTCTTCGGGTCAGGACTGCAACCTGAGCCGAAGTACAGTAAAAGGTATGTGAGACTCTTGCGACATGTGATGTTGCTTGCAGAACACAACATCGCATGTCCTAACATAAACAAACACGTTGCACCAATGGCGTCAAACGAGCCATGAGAGCGACCGGAGGAAACGGTTAAGTGCCGAGAGACAAACTCCTTCTGTCGTGTGTTTTAATGCGCTTCTGGACCCCGTAACTGAACTCATGATTTGTACGCCCGTAAACCAATATCAGTGAGGAAAAACTGTGGTGTCAGGGGAGTAAATAGCCGAGTTGATCTTTACTGTAAGTGGATGGGCCATTCTCTAAAAAGCAAAAAAGGCAGGAGGCTTCTGGACACCCGCCAAGTCTGAAGAGAGGTTGTCCATCAAGGCTCGCTATTTAACTATGAACTCAGTTCCCGTGGCAGAAAACGTAAGACAATTCAATTCAAGACTGATTGATTAAGTCTGAGCCTTGGAAGTTCTACGTGTATGCATGTGGAGGTGTGTGTGTGTGTGTGTGTGTGAGACTCAATCGATAATCAATAGGCCTTCCTGCTTTGAAGTTGAGTAAGACTGAGGTCTCTATCAGAACAGCTTGAGAGTATTAGAGTAAAGCCCAGTAAGGCCATAGGTGTTAGGAATTACACACACACACACACACACACACACACACACACACACACACACACACACACACACACACACACACACACACACACACACACACCACACACACACACACACACACACACACACACACACACACACACACACACACACACACACACACACACACACACACTAGGGGTGTAACGGTACACGTACCCGTACCGAAATTATTCGGTACGGGCCCTTCGGTTCGGTACAGGTGTGTACCGAAGTGTACCGAACGAATATAACGTTAACGTAAAAAATTGAGAACGTGAATAACTTTTTGGAAGTAATCTCAGGTGCTGCGTCGCAGCATTCAGAGTAATTTTCTCACATTGGGTTCAACGCGTCATAGAGCGAGCAAGTCATTTCATTGGATGAGAGGCATACTATCAGAGCTGGTCAGAGGGATGCGTTCAAATGTAGTCAGTAATTTGAGGAACTGTCAAAAATTAATGGCGAACGCAGATAAAGTTGAGCTCGAAAATCCTCCAGCATCATTGAAGTCTCCGGTTTGGGAACATTTTGGTTTCGCAGTTACGTACAAGGATGACGGACAAAGACAGGTGGACCGAACCAAAGCTGTTTGTCGGCATTGTTCAACTAAAATTGGTTACGCGGCTGGCAATACATCAAACTTGCACACTCTTGAAAAGGCATCACCCGAACGTGAATATCACCGGTACCAAAAGAAAAAAGACTGAAGTGCAAACCCAACTCCCACTAGCATTTAAGCCTCCACCACTCGCAGAGAGATCAGACCGAGCCAAAGCTATTAGAAACACCAAATATCATTATGTTGCCATGTTAGCAAAGCGCTACCTGGCTGCAGGGGCGGCGGGTGCTGTAGGCTTGGGAAGGCTAAGCCTTCCCAAATATTTGTGTCACTGCATCCTGGTAAAATAAAAATATAATGTATAATGTTTGTGTCTTTGACATTAGCGCTGCTAGCCACCTGTGCCCTGTGCTACGAAGCCAGTTCAACAGACCCTGGATATGTTTGAGTAATCTTAACTAACCCTAACAAACGAGATCTCGCTAAGCGGTCCTACAACGCTAGTTATCAACTCGGTAAATCAAGCCAGGGTTTCTCTCTCCAGCTGAGAACGCGTTCACGTTAAAGGGGCGGGGTTAGCAACATTTGACCAATCACAAACAGAGACAAGTGTACCGACAGCGCAGCGTCATACTTCATTAATGAAAAGTAAACTAATATTAGACAAATATGAACTTTAGACATCCATGACTTAAACATATAATCCAGGATACAAGCCACAGAGTTGCTGCAAGGTGAATACAGAACAACTCGTTAAAAAATAAATAAACTACAGAGTGTTTGAAAGCGTACAACAGTTTTATGATACTGCCCCATCTAAAACACGAGGGGATCTGACTTTAATTACATTTGAGTTGAGTGTTTCGTCAACTTAATGTGTTGCTTAAAATAATACATCTGCATACAGTCTGTGACAATGTAACTAAGTGTTGCACGGCCAGATACGGCTCAGCTGACTCAGATAAGGAAATATTGTGATATCGATGTGAGATCGATGATCTGATTGATGATGTGATATCAGTGTGATATGAATGATAAAGTGCGACACGTCGGCGTCTTCTCTGCATACGGCAGTTTAAACTGTATTTCCTTTATCCTGTAATATGACTTGATAGATTTAAACTCCGCACACTGAGCTCTGATCGGTCAGCAGGCGGTGCTTTCACTGAGTTGATCTCTTTTCTATAGACGCCGGAGGCGGGCAGCGTCAGGTAAAAAAAAAAGTGATTTAGCCTTCCCAAACCTGAGCCTCACGCGCCGCCTATGCCTGGCTGTATCGGCTACCTCTGTCCCTAGCAAGAGGGTTTTCTCCACATCAGGAGACATTGTTAGTGCCAGCAGATCTGCCCTTTCGGCAAGCAATGTGGACAAGTTCATTTTTATTTAAAAAAACATGAAAATACAATGACAAGCAAGTCCTAATGTCAAGCTGGCTGCTTAGGTGCTAGTACAGTAGGCTACAGTTCAAATACAGATTATTTCAGTTCATCGAAATGCTGCCACCTTAATGTTCATTTTATTATATTTGTATTTATTTGAGTGAATATTCACAGTTTAATAATAATTAAAAACCCAAAACTAATAGTTTATGTTTTGTGAGTACTAGTACAGTAAAGTTCAAATACAGATTATTTCAGTTCATCGAAATGCTGCACCTTAATGTTTATTTTATTATATTTTGTATTTATTTGAGTGAATACATTATTCACAGTTTAATAATAATAATACAAATATATATATATATGTTTTGTTTTGTGAAAAAAAATGCTGCTGTACCGAAAACGTACCGAACCGAACCGTGACCAAAAAACCGAGGTACGTACCGAACCGAATGTTTGTGAACCGTTACACCCCTAACACACACACACACACACACACACACACACACACACACACACACACACACACACACACACACACACACACACACACACACACACACACACACACACACACACACACACACACAAGTAAGGGCAGCTGCTCTATCAGTCTCACGGTTAATGTGTTGTATTGTAAGTGTACTGTATTAGCATTCTGACATCCTTAAATAAAACATTTTTGACTAAATTGTGGTGGAGTGTAACTTTAATAATGCGTTTATCATTTGCTAAATTTCCTCTGAACAAACCGGTGGGCATCAAATCAAACCCATAGAGGCGTTTGGATGATTTCCAGTGGCATGTGGTTAAAGTGGTGAAGAATAAAACAAACTACGATATGGCGAGGATGAGTACGAACGACCAGAAGAACAAAGAAAGAAAGAGAGAGAAGCAAATTTGATCCGGTTGGTGGAGAGCATGGGGGGGGGGGGCAGAGGAAGAACTTTACCGGGTGCTGCTCCTGTCGAGTTTCATCGAAGGTGGAGAGTCAGTGACAGCGAGAGACAGAAAGACAGGGACAGAGACAGAAGAAGACGAGGAGGAACGAGAGGGGGGGAAACACATAGAAAGACACACACAGAGACACACATTGATAGAGACAGAGACAGACACAAGACAAGAGAGAGGGGGTTTGGTAGAAAAGGGAAAAATACATCCATATGAGAGACAGACAAAGAAGGAAGGACAGCAAGAGGGCAATACCCCCCACCCGTTAACACCCAACCTGAAAATACACTCAGAAACACACTGATTGCAATATTCAAATCGATATTGAAAAAAGCTGATTATAATTATGATAAAACATTCAGATATTGTAAATTAAGTTGGTTCCTTTCCTGTATCTTGATTTTGTATGCATACATCTATTGTTTAAATGTTTTTAAATCAAATGTATTATTTTCTATTCTTCAGTTCACAGCTTTCACTCTCAAGTAAATTACCTCACATAAAACATTTAACTCAATGATATTGGATAGGCTTGATCATTCCTTCCACTTGCATTACAATACTTAAGGATGACCCTTTAAGTCTACCAGAACTGCATTTACCTTATTTAACTTATCATAACAAATGTATATACTTCTCCAGGAACTTTTTGACATCTTTAATAAGAGCACTTTTGTGAATCAGGACCTCCTGGCTTTTCGTCTGCTCTGCCACCACTTCTATGAATAATTACCTTCACGGTTGGAAGAGGAAACTCGATTGCTGCATCCATTGACACCGATTCTTATCTTATCAGACCATAATGATCAATTAGACCAAGCCTACAGCGTAAATTGCCCTCATTAGATCTGGTATTATCATCTAGTGAGATTTTATCAAAGATCTTTGGCATGCACAAGGGAAGAAAAAAAGCGTTAAGTGACTACAAGTATCCGGTTCCAGGTTCTCTTGACATATCAGAGCAGAAAACACTCAGGACAGCCGTCATGAGCGGAGACTCAAGAAACCAGGATTTGTGTGTATTGTCCCATACACGCACACCGTCAATGGAAAGAAAAGGCATTCCCACAGAGTTCTGCGACTGCATGCAGCTCTCAGACAGTGTTTCATTCAATTATTTTGTGGATGAAGAGTGCCAGAAGCGCGGTAGTTGTGTTTAAAACCCTTAAAAATATGAATCCATTGCACTCTGACCATGCTAAGACTCTCCTCCGCACAATGGTTCTGTGATGGACCTGCTTTGAAACAATGTCATGCGAGACATTTCAAAGGTGTGTGTGTGTGAAGATTTCACCCCTTTTAAGCAAAACTGAACTGTAGCTCAGCCCCGGAGCAGATGGTGGAAGCGAGGAGGCAAAGGAGGAGAGATGGTGGAGAGGAAGGACATGTGGAGAGAAGAGGGGGCAATGATGGGAGAGTATCCTAAAAGGGAACCAGTTAAGAAAGCTAGAAGGAGAGGAGAAAAGGGGGAGAGGAAGGGGACCAGTAAAGGAGGGGAGGAGGCATCCTTATTGTGGCAGGGAGTCATGCTGTGGAGGGTGCAGCAGTGGAGTGATTTTCAACGTTTGCTGTTTGGTGATATTTCACTTTGATTGAACAGTTTCACGTTTTGTTGTGTATTTAAAGAGTTCAGGGTCTGTCCACCATCAATGTGTCTTTCTGGAATCTCGTGGCTAGTGGTTCTTTTAATGCTGGAAGATCTTTTCAATTTCTTATTGATTTTCGGTCATTTGCACTGGGGCAAGTTGCATAGAGTAAGCTTATACTAATCAAGAACTGCTCTCTAATTGTAATGTAGAATAGGTCAATAAAACATGTCTAAAATTAGGTTTGAGGTTAGAGCTTTGCTGCTATGTCAATATAGTGTATATATATTCAGTAAACAACTGTTTATCTATTCCTTTGAACTAACCAATTAAGCAGTTTACTCAGATTATTAGATAACTATTTCAATTGTTAATGACATTTAGCTAACTCGTAGGAAGCTATTTCAACTGTTTACGAGTTGGTTTTAGCTTACTTTTAGCCCTAGGTTATAGCTAACTTTTAGCAAACTATTTCAACTGTTTATCATTAGCTAACTTTAAGCTAACTATATCAGGTGTATTTTTATGCATATCGATTTATTTTAACTGACTTTTTTAGCTAACAATTCAAACTGTTAATCCATTACTTTTGGATAACTTTGTATCCGAAAGTAATGGATAAGTAAGTTAGCTTAAAGTTAGACAACTTTAAGCTAACTATTTGAACTGTTTATCATTAGCTAACTTTAAGCTAACTATATCAGGTGTATTTTTATGCATATCGATTTATTTTAACTGACTTTTTTAGCCAACAATTCAAACTGTTAATCCATTACTTTCGGATAACTTTTTATCCGGAAGTAATGGATAAGTAAGTTAGCTTAAAGTTAGACAACTTTAAGCTAACTATTTGAACTGTTTATCATTAGCTAACTTTAAGCTAACTATATCAGATGTATTTGTATGCATATCGATTTATTTTAACTGACTTTTTTGCTAACAATTCAAACTGTTAATCCATTACTTTCGGATAACTTTGTATCCATTGGTTTTAGAAAACTTTAAGCTAACTTTTTCAACTGTTTATCATTGGCTAACTTTAAGCTAACTATATCAGGTGTATTTTTATGCAACTGGCCCCTGATGTTATACAGCTGATTCAGTCATAGTGAAGGTTCACCTCTCTGGAACTTCAACACAGATGTGAAAAGGTTAACCAAATAAATATATCACCTTGCGATCATCATATCAGCTGCCTCCTGAAAGCTTCACCTTAAAAAAACTTGTATGTGCACCTTCCCCATCCCGCTTGCTGCCTGATTTACTTTTGCTGCCGTTTGTTGCCTTGAATACTGTTCACATTGCATTCAGACCGCGAGCAACAGCATCGTTTTAATTCTAACAGCTTATGTGTTAATTTTTCATAGGACATTAGATAACTGTGCATTATTTTATTAGAAAATGTTGTAGGTGCAGACAGCTTTTCTGAATATCAAGAAAGCTCGTCAAACATTGTAACTGGCTGAGTTTTTTAGTAGCTGACAGTGTGAACATACAGGAACAATGTCATTAAGAACACGACTATAACGTATATTTGTTCATACAAATAATGTGTTTAGACAGATGCAAAGCAAATTCATTAACACCTTTTTATATAGAAGTTTTAGGATCATTATTTTTCAGGGCTACTTGGGATAGCAGTCTGGAAAACACATTGTCTTAAAAAATTCAGAATGATTTCTTTGGCCCTAAAGACAAATGACTGGTGGTGGTGTTGTTGCATCCATAAGCATCAAAATAGCACTGGAGTACATTTTAGCTGTCTCTAGCTAGCATCATATGTTTGTTGTGTTGTTGTGAAAATGAGTTTTTGTCCCTTACTATATATATATATATATATATATATACATGTTTGACGCTTTTTGAAACATGTATACTTGAAGTAGAAACCAATTGGCTAGTTTGAGTGCCGACAACAGCATTGGGACGTCAGAAAGTATTAAGAAGTTCGTTTAAACATTTGTTTTAGGCAGAAATTAAACATTTGAACAAATACTTTTTTCAACATTGTGACCCCTGTTCATGCCACCTAAAGCAAATGTACACCTGTGTGCGTCACTCGTGTTTTTACATTGACTTATTACACATAAAACCACTTCCAATAGTTGCTTTGCATTCAATCTAAAACACCCTTTGACAGTAGCTATTAGCGCTCATACTTAGAGAACATATTTAAGCACATTATTTGTCTGTGACTGCCTCCGAACAACGCTAACATAGTTCTGAGTGATGCTGAGAACTGCATCGTAGGTTGTGTTCAGGTTCATGCAGTCACCAAGGCAGACATGCAGTAGAGCTGAGGAGGATGCACACACCAGCTTTTCTCTCTCTCACATACTCTTCTGTGTCTTTCTCAAAGACAAACATTCAGCCCCTCCAGTTGCATATATCATACATATATTATACATATGTATTAATCTATAAACTGCCTCGGCATAGTAAAAAATCATTCCACCAACCACACACTGCCCTAGCATGCCTCCCTCCTTCCCTCCCAGCCTGACTTCCCCCGGGTCGTGCAGAGGAAAGAGAGTCAAATACCTTTGTCCGGGCACGTTAACATGGTCAAAACGACGGATGTGTGTTTGTGTTTGAGTGTGTGTGGGTAAAAAAAAAAGGGGAAGGGGGACGAGGCGATGAGCCACAGTAGGGTTCTTCACCAGTGGACTGAGAGCCTGGGCACTTAAAGGGTTAAAGGTGTCTGGGGCGCCCTCACCCCCACGGACTGACCGCCGGGGACCTCCAGCTGGGAGGACGGGGGAGGATGAAGAGGCGGGAGGTAGAGGAGGGGTAGGGTTGGGTAGGGGGCAGGATGTTGGCTTTGATGGTTGTTGAAGAGGTGACGTTGAAAGGTGTGTGTGGTGGAGTTTGAAAGGGCATAAGGGTTAATAACGCACTACAGGGGTTATATTCAACAAGGGTGGAGGCTGGGGTTGGAATAATGCCAAGCTAGGGAGGGATGGGTGATACACATTCCCAACATACAGCAACCTGACTCGAGAATGTGCTAGAACTTGTTTTGACAACAAAAAAACCCTCTTTCTTCTATTGTTTATTACATTAAGGTCAATCTAAATCATTTATTGAACAACAAAGACAAAAAGGGGTCCTTCTTAACTCTTCAAATTTAAATTGTCCAGTCCTTAATGGTGCTACCAGAAACAAAGGTTTTAGCATTTATGTATACATCTTACAGTAAATGCCTCGATGTAGATGTAGACCTGTTCTTATCTTAGGTATCCTCTGTTTTTTTTAATATACAGGTAGTTGAAGAACTGGACTAATTTGATTCTGTTTGACCAGCTTTGAGTTGGAGCAAGTAAACAAAACAGCAAGTACAACTTCCCTTTCTGTTTGCAGAGGCAAGAGTTTGAACTACTGGGGTTAGGATTTATACATTCCCCTTTTGTCATGCACTTTGCTGTATGTTAGGAATACAGGACATCTAGCAGGGATGAAGTTGGGAAATCGGATAGACACGCAGAATGTAACGATCGATGGGGTCTTGTGAAACAGAGGGTTGAAAGGTGGACGAGAATGGAGGGACGGGAAAAGCATCAGCAGGAACAAAAGATGTGAAGGACCCTAGTAGGGTTGGTAGGAAAGTGTTTAAGGAGACAAAGTCAAGAAAAGAGGAAGGGGTGACTCACGGCCTGTTAGAGGACATATCAGTGCGGCATGGATTGGCAAATAGGCGACACAAGGGAACAGGAGCAGGGAAGATTGGGAAAAAGGAAATGTTGAGAAGGAAGATGTGGTGCTTTATATTGCATACGGTTAGACAGTAAATGGGAAATGATCTTTGGGATTGAGATGTTTCAGGCAAGGGTTCGGGTTAATGACGGTGTGAAACAGGGTTACTACACTCTAAAAAAGTATGTAATTTCAGTATTTTAGGGTTCCTCGATTGAAACTAAAGAGAAATTCTCCAAAAGGTTAAGATGTTTGTTTGATAATGGTTTCAAAGGAGTACCTCAGGGTACACTGTGAGGTTTTTTTTTTTTTTTTTTAGAGTGTAGGTCAAGGGTGATGATCATCCACAACGTTAGGGAAATAATTTGGTTAGGATCACGGGAAGATTTCCAGATGAAGGTGGCGATGAAACGTAGAGAAAGACCTGCTGATACACATGTGATGATGACCAATGAGAAGATAGACATGGAAATGGAGAAAGGGTACTGCAGGAGGAAGGGACATGAACAGACAATGACCAGACTACAGAAAATAGATTCAAGAAGAAAGAGAGGACCAAGACAGACAAGAAGTTCAAGAGAGGCTGGAGCAGCAAGAGAAAGTGGAAAAGGAGAGTTTAACAGGAACAGTGTAAGAGACAGACAGAAAGAGTAGATAGTAGAAAGAAAAGGACATGATGATTTCTGAAGTACAGCAGGCTGAGATAAGAGTAAGATCAGCATTGCCTGGTGTACCTGATGCACAAGGCTGGGCGACAAGGGTCTTTCTGTGGATGGTGAATATGTGTGTGTTTGTGTGGGTGGTGGAGATGATGAAGAGGAGGGTGGGGGATTGGGGGCACTTACGTGAAGGCGAAGGCCACCAGAGCACCACTAACCACTATAAAGTCCAGAATATTCCATAAGTCGCGGAAGTAGGCGCCCTGGTGGAGAAATAGGCCCAGTACCACCATCTGGAAGACACAGAGCACAGTGAGTAAAATACATACACACATTTACAGAAATACATTTACAGACTCTAGGGTTTGGCGATAGGTTGCACTACAAATACTCGAACTCTTGCCCAGTATATTTGTCTAACATCTAGTCAGAATATGTCTCTCCACCTGATATAAGACATAATAACTTCTGAAGTAACACTGCAGTGAGATATCAGGTCTGGTTTTAGACAATGCATCATCTTGTTGAGTCAAAACAAATCTTATTTTGAGTTGTATCTCAGATGAAACACATTATTTTACATATTTATTAGAAAATCACTAACATCAGAAAACAGAAAACCTTTGAGAGTTTGCGGCTTATATTATAACTAGGGCCGGGACTTTAACGCGTTAATTAAGATTAATTAATTACACAACAATTAACGCGTTAAAAAAATTAACGCATTTTAATCGCACTTATTTTTGCACCGCGGAACGTTTCTCACTGGATGAGTTTCAGGCGTACCGATTATACTGGAGCACCAACTAACGTTCATGACTTCAGACAACAACAAACCACAGTGAACAACAGTGGGAAATGTTGTTTTAAAAAACGGACGGATGGAAGCGTCGATAAGAGCACGGTTGTGTGCAAATTATGTAAAAAGGAATTCGCATATCACCGCAGCACATCAAGCCTCAAGTATCACCTCAATGCAAAACATATAGCAGCTAGCGTGGAAGCTAGCGTGGACGTTAGCCTCTTTTATCGCGTTCACACCAAAAAGAGCTGGTACTAAAATTAGTTCATGAGAACCTTTTTACCCCCACGAAAGTCCCTGCTAGAGAGCAGAGAGCTGCTAGAGAGCAGAGAGCTGCTAGAGAGCAGGGACTTTCGTACGGCTCTCTTGTGAGAAAAGAGCTATATTTCTGATTGGCTGGGCGGATTGCAAACCACGCCCCGTAAAACTCCCAAAAAGTTTTGTGAAGCCGCCATTTTATTATCCTCGCATTAGCATTATTAGCATTAGCCCAGCGCAGAAACACAGAGAGACTAACTTATGGCAACACAAAATAAAACATGGGAGCGGTGGAGATGAGGAGGTGTCGGCGTTCTGGCGATTTACTCGGAAGGCTTCAGTAGAAGCTGCTGGGACTCCCAGCAGCTTCTACTGAAGCCAGTCCCCAACTCCGGGGACTTCCGGCCGGGGTCTTTGGGCGGCAGTATACGCCGTGAAGTGGTTTGCGGCCTGCCAGTAAACCCAAAGAAGAAGAAGTGACGTCAGCGGCTTCATTTGCCTAATCCACCCCCAGGTTCAAAGAGTTCTCATGAACCTTTGTGGGAAAAGTACTGCGGTGTGAATGCGCCTAATGGTATACTAAAATCCATGTGAAAAAAATTGCTTCTCACTGTTCTCAGGTCAAATATTTACATGTGATTAAAAATGCGATTAATTTCGATTAATTAATTACAAAGCCTCTAATTAATTAGATTAATTTTTTTAATCGAGTCCCGGCCCTAATTATAACACAACATTTCCTGATTCTAGTAACATATGGTTCAAAATGAGTTCTCCCAGATAATTACAAGATCTGATTTATTTAAATATCCCTTCTTATTTCAATAAATCTTACCAAGCAAATGTTCACTTGTTCTATTGGCAGATATTTGAACTTATTTCAAGTGAAAACGGCTTCTTTTCATTATTGTTTAACTTGTTTTTGGAGCAGCATTTTCTCCAGTGTGAGTGTTACCCTGGTTGTTTTTGTTTGGGAGCTTTTTGGTATTTTAAGATGCTAATTTATAGGTCTTTTCAGAATAATGAGGCAGGGATGATTTCATTTGTTGCACGGCTTAGTTGAATACTCGTTTCTGATTGGACAATTTGGACATGCCAGAAGTCTGTTATTTTCCGCTAACAGACCGTTTCTAAGGAGAACAGACCGTTGTCGGTGTGTCATTAATGACCGTCTTGCTGCACATTATCCCTTACTTGTTACTCTGTGAATTAAGGTAAACAGGATTTTGTTTCTGTCAAATTTAAGGATTCAAGATGCAAAGAGACACAGGTTTGATTGTCATATGAACAATAGCTACAGCGTAGTTGAACGTCTTGAGTCCCAGACAACCTGAAAACTAAAAAATACCAAAAGTGGGATCAATATAGTTTATCTTATCTAATATAATATAATACTTAAGAAAGGTAGTGCAAGTAATACAATGGTAAAATGCAACTCTAATGATGTGCATGTAAGATAGAGTAAGATAATACTGAATGTAAAGTTAATGTCGTACAGCAAAAATACTGTTCAGTGTAACGATATATAAATGAATATTGAATACTGTTGACATATTTCAGTATATTGCCAAACCCTAATTGATACACAGTAATTTAACACTCAAAGACACACAGCACCAATTTAAAAAATGCACTCAAAGGCACACACACACACACACACACACACACACACACACACACACACACACACACACACACACACACACACACACACACACACACACACACACACACACACACACACACACACCATGTATACATCACTTGACATTACATTGACTTACATGCATTTCCTGGAGACTTATCCTAACCTTAACCATAACCAACACATGCCTAACCCTAACCCTAACCCTTAACCTTTAACCTAACCCTAACCCTAACCAAGTCTTCACCCTAAAATTAATGATTCCCCTCATGGGGAGCTCCATTTTGTCCCCATAAGGGAGGCGAGTCCCCACACGTGACTGTGGAAACAGATGTAGGTCCCCACAAGTATAGTAATGCTAGGACTCACACACACACACACACACACACACACACACACACACACACACACACACACACACACACACACACACACACACACACACACACACACACACACACAGTGATACTTTGTTACCTTGATCAACATTTCGAATGTGAAGACGCCTGTGAAAACGTAGTCAAAGTAACGCAGCACCTGCAGAGCAACACAACACCGTGAGATATAATTATCAGAGTGGAGAGAAACATAGAGAAGGAAGCAGAAAGATGAATCAGAGAGAGAGAGAGAGAGGAAACACAGCAGGAGAGATTAACAAAGAGATAGAAAGAGACAACAACGAGACTCCAACCAGATTCTAATCCTAATCCTGTTTTCAGTTTCTATTTTCAAACACAATATCTATTTGTCATATCCAATTTTCTTTTTTGGTTGTTGGCAAAACTATCGTCAATGAGCACGAGCAGTGATGGCCGAGAAATATGTAAGGAGAACATTTTAAACTGTTGCTTTATTACATTAAAGTTGTTTGATACTTAAGACTTTAAGCGGTCTCAAAACTATGTTCACTTTAAAAACCTGCATGCTCGTGCTAGCCTTTACATTTATTTTACCCTCGTTATTTTCTATACAGCTTTCAATTTCATTTAAATATTTTTGCACATATTTTATAGCCTTTTTCATATTTGTTTATTTTCTGTTAAGGTTTGGGAGCCTCACCCATAAACGGCAGTTTGTTAACCCTTAGATGTATAAGTGGGTCTTTTTTGACCCGGTGAGGTGAAGTATCTTTGTAATTACATTTTTTTATCATTTCATATTCCAGCTATTCCTCAAAAAACATGTTTTGGAAATCATGCCATTCAAATTGTATACATTTTAAGAAATTGTAGTTGTTTTATTACTACCCCAAGCTGCCATAACTGGGTCAAAAGTGACGCGCATGCATTTCTATGGAATTTCATTTCTTTTTCAAAATGTAAAAAAAATGTCTAAAATTATAAATAAATCAAATGTAATATAAAATATTTCTAGTGTGAACCAAAATATAATACTAAATATTATACAACTGATTTTTCTTAACCAAAATGGCATAAAAACACATATTATTCTAATACGGGTCCTTTTTGACCCACTTATGGAAGAGTGTAGTCACTCGTGCATCTAAGGGTTAAATATCATCGAGCATGTAGCTCAAGAACCACTCGGTTGCCATCTGTAATACTTTTTTTCCTTTTTTAAAGTACTGACAATTAAATGACATCTGACAATATATGTTAAAAATGATAACCTGTAAAGTTTGTCATGATATGCAATGTGAAGATGATATGCTGAACGTTATCAAACATGCAGCAATAGTACTTTTGCAAGATTAAAACAAATCAGAACTGTTACTATCATTATTAACCATCAATAAGCCCTTTACATTTTCATTTAATTCTCCTCATGGGCTAATATTACACCTACGTCTGCTTGAGTGAACATTTTAGTGGACATTTGGCTCATCTGTGTATGTGTTGGAGAGGTTTTATTTTTAAAAGGATGTGTTGATACACCTTGGTAGGCGGACAGAAAGACACAGAGCGATGTCTCACATTGTTTCGAGGTGACTCAGGACTGACGGGGTCCTCTGCAGCCAGGGCGATGCTGCTCATGGCGATCACAGAGAGGATGCTGAACTCAAAATACTTCAGAGTCAGGATGTAGTGACAGCACTTCCGAAACCTGGTGCAAACACACAGACATATTCACGAGTTGAGACACACACAACTGAAACATATCCTGGACTTTTGGATTCTGGTGATCTGCTTTACATGGATGCCTCTGACCAGTGCCTAACGAGTTTGGGTACTGTGTACCATCGTGCATTACGTTTTGTTACTGGATGTGGTTATCGTGTGCACCACTGCACTCTGTGTGCTGCTGCTAATTGGCCATCTTTGTTTGCACGCAACTTTCCCATTGGTTGGGTTTTATATATACATCTCTGCTTGGGCTGGTTCCCTCTTCAGGGTACATGCAGGAATCCTGAAGTCAAATGTAAAACCTTTTAAGACCTTTTTTAAGACCCTTTCCGTACATTTTAAGACCTCATCGCCACTTGGAGTTCTAACCGGTTACCTTGGCGACACACTTCACCTCACATTGACTATATACAGTATTGATTGTCCTTCCTCCTTATCTTCCAACCATTTGGACGCAGACTTGCATTTCCCCATAACGATGTTGTTTAACAACCGGCGTAAACGGACCTTCGCGCGCTATCAAGCCGTGAGCGTGCAATGTCCTGTTCAGATGACGTCAAACCCAACGGGATGCCATCAATAAACTACATAGAATCACACAACACACCTACGCCATGATTACATTCAGGCACACTGTAGAATACAACCTCTTTGGACCATTCATATACTTATTGAAAACAAGCTACAAAATGTAATACCTTGGAAAATGCCGTTTAATACTTTTTAATAGCTTTCATTTTCGCTAGATTGATTTATCAGCTTTTAATACTTTTTAACACCCCGCGGACACCCTGCTCTTATATTTGCACATATATGTGTAAAAAAAAATTCTATATGGCCTGCGCTACCAATATTTAATTCAGATGCTGGTTCCTAACGTGAGAACAGAACTGGGTAAAACAGCTTTTAAATATGCTGCCTCTTCTGCTTGGAATAATATACAGAAGGAGCTGAAACTGTCCGATTCGATCACTACGGGGGAGTTTAAGTCCATCTTAAAGAACAGAGAACAAGAAACCATTGGTCGATGTGAGTGATCGTATATCCCTTAATTGAAGTCGTTTGAAATTGTGCCCGTTTTTAATGATGTATAATGGTTTCTTTTATTTGCATATTGACTGTTTTTTTGCCATTTAATTTGTGATTTACGACCGCTGTATTCGTCTGCATGTATTGTCTGTGTTGTATCTGTTGTAACCTTGTTCATGCTGCCCTTCCTGGTCAGGTCCCTCTTGAACCTTTTACCTGGTTAAATAAAGGATATATAAATAAATGTTCATACGGGTTGGTGGTGGACATTATGAAGCAGGAGCTGAAGGGAGGCATGGGTTTGGGTCCGTCTTCTTTGCCCCCCTCGTCATCCTCCTCCTCCTTCTTCTCCTCGCTCTTCTTCTGGTCGGTGTTGGCGTTCTTGTTCACTGAGCAAAACAAAGAGAGAAAAAATAAAGGAATGGACGGACAAAGAGACAGAAAGAGGTCAGCTTCACCAGAGCAAGACGGTAAACACGGTAAACACAGCATTGTTTCCAGAACAGAGCTGAATGAGACTGGATTCACACCAGTGTTAGCCAGTAGATCAATGGTTTTAAAAGTGGCACACCACCAGTTTTACCTGACAAAGTTCATTTACTTTTGATGGAGAGTACTACTCATTGTACAAAAACAGTTGGAGCATATATGTCAAGTGAGAGAATGAGTCAAGTATTCATTACACATTATGTACATGTGGATATTTCAAGGATTAACCAAAGACGCTTTTTTTGTTTTGTAATAGAAATTCGACATTCAACCACACATTAATACACTGATGGTAGAGGCTACCGATGGGCTTATGAGGATCTAGAGGCTCAAACGCTCAAACTATGATGAGCAATTTGGGGTTCAGCATCTCGCCATAAGGAAAGTTGACATGTGAACTAGACAAGTTGACGTCTTGACTCCAGAGCAACAGTGGCTGTTTCACATGACTTGAAACTAATCATGTCTTATAGTGCGTTTCCACTACAGCGCGGAGCCCCGTTTAAGAGGGCTGTGACGTCAGCGGCCCGCTTTTGGTTGCGTTTCCACTTGGCCTAGTACCGGCTAGCGGCTCATAATTCACAGTTTTTCTGGCCCCATAAAATCGGGGTTCTAGGGCCAGGAACAACCAGGCTGTGACGTCACTCTCGACTGCTGATTGGTCAGAGAGAACGTGTTGACGCGTCGCATATAAATATATATATATATATAGCAAAGCTTGCAGCATTTTTATAAACAGCATTTTTGTTAACAGAGGATCAACAAAAATGGCAAAGAAAAGCACACCGTGGTCCGCCGAGGAAGTTACGACGTTCCTACACTTTATTGCAGATGACAAGATCCAGCGGGAGCTCGACGGGACAACTCGCAATATGAAAGTATTTCAGGAGGTCTCTACACTGATGTGCGGAAGCGGTTACTCGAGGACTGTCTTGCAGTGTAGGGAAAAACTGAAAAAGATGAAGAGTGAGTATCGCGTAGTGAAGGACAACAACAAGCCGATCGCTCCGCCTTCACTACGTTACTATAGATACTACCCCAGTTCCTAAACTGTAATGGAGACGCGCCATAAAGTGAGCCAGTCCTAACGAGCGAGCCAGTCCTAACGAAGTGAGCCAGTCCTAACGAAGTGAGCCAGTCCTAACGAGTGAGCCAGTCCTAACGAGCGAGCCAGTCCTAACGAAGTGAGCCAGTCCTAACGAAGTGAGCCAGTCCTAACGAGTGAGCCAGTCCTAACGAGCGAGCCAGTCCTAACGAAGTGAGCCAGTCCTAACGAAGTGAGCCAGTCCTAACGAAGTGAGCCAGTCCTAACGAGCGAGCCAGTCCTAACGAGCGAGCCAGTCCTAACGAAGTGAGCCAGTCCTAACGAAGTGAGCCAGTCCTAACGAAGTGAGCCAGTCCTAACGAGCGAGCCAGTCCTAACGAGCGAGCCAGTCCTAACGAGCGAGCCAGTCCTAACGAGCGAGCCAGTCCTAACGAAGTGAGCCAGTCCTAACGGGCGAGCCAGTCCTAACGAAGTGAGCCAGTCCTAACGAAGCGAGCCAGTCCTAACGAGCGAGCCAGTCCTAACGAAGTGAGCCAGTCCTAACGAAGTGAGCCAGTCCTAACGAGCGAGCCAGTCCTAACGAGCGAGCCAGTCCTAACGAAGTGAACCAGTCCTAACGAAGTGAGCCAGTCCTAACGAAGTGAGCCAGTCCTAACGAAGCGAGCCAGTCCTAACGAGCGAGCCAGTCCTAACGAAGTGAGCCAGTCCTAACGAAGTGAGCCAGTCCTAACGAAGTGAGCCAGTCCTAACGAGCGAGCCAGTCCTAACGAAGTGAGCCAGTCCTAACGAAGTGAGCCAGTCCTAACGAAGTGAGCCAGTCCTAACGAAGTGAGCCAGTCCTAACGAGCGAGCCAGTCCTAACGAAGTGAGCCAGTCCTAACGAAGTGAGCCAGTCCTAACGAAGTGAGCCAGTCCTAACGAGCGAGCCAGTCCTAACGAGCGAGCCAGTCCTAACGAAGTGAGCCAGTCCTAACGAAGTGAGCCAGTCCTAACGAGCGAGGCCGTGTAGTGGAAACGCGCCATAAGTCTCTACTGCTTTGAATGTGATCATATGTCTATTGAAATGACCCCTAACTTAAAAGAAAGGGTGATTCCAAATGGCTTAAGTATTTGTTGACTAATCTTTTCAGTTACTATAGAGACCTTTAATCAGCTGTATTGAGTCACACATTTGTAGTTACAATACCTTATTCATTGAGTTTAAAACATGCTCTACTTCGGTATTGCCCATCCCAATGTGTTCCAGTTTCCCTATTCATATTTTAAGTAAATTATTTGATCAGTTATTGTTGGTTTTCATCAAAAGAGCATATTTAAATAATCCAGAACAAATCTAGACCAGACTCAGGGATAGTTTTATCCCACAGGCCATAAGACTGCTAAACACCTGAGCTCTGTTAATATCATGCTATATTTGAATAATATATTGAAGGGCCATTTGACCTGGCATTTGTACTACAGCGTCTCCAGCACTTTCGAATGGCAATGGCCGTGGCTGTCTCCTCCTGATAGGTGGAGAGTTGCCCATATAGGCTCCTCGTTTCTGACGTCAGATATTTCAAATCTGGATCAGATCCGTTGCAGCCCCGTTTTTAGAGATTTGGGTATGGAGGAAAAGAGAGAGGGTTGTGTTTTCTGACACAAAGTGCCCCGATAAACAGTCCTGTTTGTTTTTAACCGCAATAAACCGTATTTAATTTTGTCTTAATTTACATTATTTAATTTCATATTCTGTTCTCGTACATATCGTATATTCTATTGACATGTATATAGACTTTTTGCACTACTTTCTGTATTGTATTTTACTATATATGTTGCATTGTTGGAGGAGCTCAAGTAAGAAGAATGTCATTGCCATTTCTACCCTGTAGCTTATGTGCATATGACAATAAAACCTTTGAATTTTTTTAATTTGAATCTAGTAGTTATTTGTATATGGCCAATACCGTACTTTCTTAACGTCAAGGGATTTTTGAAGCACCTTTGATAGTCTACCCTGGTTTACAGCGCAGATGCTCACCTTGCAGGATGGCGTTGGTGGAGGGGTAAGGGTACACAGGAGGCATGTCTATCTTGGTGTACTCTGGTTTGGCCATGCTGGTGAGGATCAGGCTGTCCATGCTGTGCAGCAGCGTGTGGGTGTCGGCGTCACGGCAGTTCAGCAGGTTGTTGACGTGGTCAGGGTGATCCGGTGGAAGGTCGTACGGATGCTCCTGGGCACTGGCCAACTTGCTGTTGTTGCGGAAGTTGTCCAGGTCCTCGTTGTACTGCTGAATGGGTCGAGTGGTGGAGAGACTGTGGTGCTCCCTGATTAAGTAGAAGGGTAAAAAGGAAAACGGATGAAGAAGAAATAGGAATAAAGGGGGCAGAGGAGCAGTACAAGGTCACACTTGAACAATGAGTTCCCATATGGTCCTCTCTTAATAGTCAAAATGCTTAGCGTCGATTCTGGACACTTCTTAACGTCATAAATCTACATTTGAGCTTAATAAGGCAAGTTACGGATCCAATTGTGGTTGCACAAGTGAACATTATACAGCACTATACCAACAAATGTTTTACATGTGTTTCCTTTTAAATATATATTAAGCATACTGGTGTCAAAAACAAAAAAATATTTATAGGTATATATATTTTTATATATATTTGTACTTTTGTATTCGGGATTGTGGGAAACGGTATTTCGATCTCTCTGTCTGTACACACAAACTGAAAGATTGACAATAAAGTTGACTGACTTTTTAAATAAACCTTCACTCACTTTCTGTTGTGATGGTTGCTGTGGCGATGCCTTCTCGTTTTCCTTCCCTCCCCTTCCTCGCCTTTCTCCCCCTCTCCCTCCGTCCCTTTAGATCTGTGTCTCCGGCCCTCTTCCCCCTTGCGGTGCCGGGACCTCCTGTGTTCGTGGTTCCCCTCGACTCCCTCGCTGTGGTGGGGGGACACACTTTGGGCCTCTCTGTTTCGGTGCCTATGTCCTCGATGGCTCCTGTGTCCGTGCCTTTCCTCCCCAGGTTGAACCTGGAAGGAAGAAAATCAATATATATGTGGCGTAACTTTAAATTAATACACTGTTTTAATCTGAAACCGGAAGTTTAGTGTGTCGACAATGTCGTCAACTTCCGGACGTTGTTTGTAGCCGTTAGCATGTAGCCGTTAGCATGTAGCTAACAGTATGTTTTGTACAGGAATATAAGGAGAAATTACACGCGGTGTTGCACACTAAACACACTGTCTTTAACCCTCACTTATTGACGCTGTAATGCTATTATTAGGGAATGTTTAAATGACCAATAAACATTAGAAGATTGTAAAACTAACAAGAGGAAATGACGACAGGCAGGACGTGCCTTGGACCCGCCCCCGTTGACGCTAAGCCAATGGGAGAAGACTTCAGATGATATATATGTGACACAAGCAGGAAGTCGGTCTCTTTTCTCATCCCATGCCGGTGGACGGAGGAGTACAGCTGTGACCTTTTGCAAATTCATTGTATAATTGTTTTATTAAACGCTGTTAACTTGTAAATAAGCTTCCTGGACTCTTTTCAGCTAATCCTGACTCAATACCCTACAAACCTCAACGTTTCCCAGAGACGTGCAGCTGAATCCATGCTCCATTCGGGTCTTCGCCGGCTGGGTCGTCTCCACCTTCTCCGACCCGTTGACTTTCGGATGGTGGTGGTGGTGGTGCCGGTTATTATGGGTGACTCGGTGGAATTGATCCATGTCCTGGCGTTGGTACTCCTGGTCCAGAGGTAGTTCGCCCGGTTGGGTTTTGTTGGTGTTGTTGTTGCGGTTGTCCTGCGGGTTGACCACCAGCGGACGGTCCAGGTGGGTCTTCATGTCCCCGCGGGCTTTCCGTGGGATTGCAACCTGGGTGGGGGTTAAAAAAGCAGCAGGTGGGTGAGAAGGTGCTCTAAAGAATCAAGATTACATGTTGGGAAAATACTGAATGTCCTCTTCCAATGTGAGAGTCACATGATAACAAAGGTATCCCAACTGTAGCTGTGTACATGACAGGATGTGTGATTACCTAGAAGAGCATCAGGACTGTTTGAGGCAGATGATAGCTATGTGATTAACATGATGATTCAGCCTCTATGGAGAGAGACATCAAGCATGCTCATTTCTGACGTGGAGCTAATCTGAAGTAAACATTGAATTCTGCTTTGAACCAGTATTCCTCCATCTTGTGACTGTGTGGGTATTTTGAGAGAAAGTCAGAATTTTGAGAAAAAGTCCAGATTTTGAGATTTTGAGAAAAAAAAGTGATAATTTAGAGAAAAAGTGATAATTTAGAGATTTTTAGAAAAAAGTTATAATTTAGAGAAAAAGTGATAATTTTGAGATTTTGAGAAAAAGTGATAATTTTGAGGAAAAGTGATAATTTAGAGATTTTTAGGAAAAAGTCAGAATTTAGAGAAAAAGTGATAATTTAGAGATTTTTAGGAAAAAGTGATAATTTAGAGAAAAAGTGATAATTTAGAGATTTTTAGAAAAAAGTTATAATTTAGAGAAAAAGTGATAATTTAGAGATTTTTTAGAAAAAAGTTATAATTTAGAGAAAAAGTGATAATTTAGAGATTTTGAGAAAAAGTGATAATTTTGAGGAAAAGTGATAATTTAGAGATTTTTAGGAAAAAGTCAGAATTTAGAGAAAAAGTGATAATATTTTTTTAAGAAGTGATAATGTTTTTTAAAAAAGTGATAATTTTGAGAAAAAGTCCACATTTAGAAAAAAAAAAGTCAGAATTTTGAGATTTTGAAAAAAAAAAGTGATAATTTAGAGAAAAACTGATAATTTAGAGATTTTGAGAAAAAGTGATAATTTTGAGAAAAAGTCAGAATTTTGAGAAAAAGTCAGAATTTGGAGATTTGGAGAAAAAAAAGTCAGAATTTTGAGAAAAAGTTAGAATTTAGAGATTTTTAGGAAAAAGTCAGAATTTAGAGAAAAATTGATAATTTAGAGATTTTGAGAAAAAGTGATAATTTTGAGATTTTCAGAAAAAGTCAGAATTGTGACATTTTCAGAAAAAAGCCAGCATTTTCAGAAAAAACTCTACCAGTATTCCTCCATCTTGTGACTGTGTAACTCCCTCTCTTGGATATCAGCATGTGAAGGACACTGTTCAGGAGCTAGTTGATGCTCTGTATGTGATGACTACTTCCATTCTGGAGAGGATCACAGATACATGGATCCTGAGATTGAAGCTCAAGCCGCTGACGAGTGATTTTTTTCTAACATTATCCTACTACTGAGCCCACTGGCCTCTACGCTACCATGCACATACACTGGAACTGAAGGCCATTCAATGTGTGATTCTTTTAAGTAACATTTAATAAATAATACAAACAAGATTTCTATACATTTATGCTTTTGACTCTTCACACAAATGTATTTCCACTGACCTTCTTTATTAAGGTGGCAGCATATACTGTATTTCAGAGACTGATCTCAACTCATCTGAGCATATTATTACATCTTTTAATTGTCTATGTATGGCAATTGCAAGATTTATATATGCTTGTTTATAAGATGCATTCATTCTCAATTTCCTATATATCCGTTTTTTTTTTTTAAAGATAAGACATAGTTCCTTTTAGCTCATGCAGGAGGAGATTATAATCTTTAAAGTTTAAGTATAAGCAGTTTGTCAAAGGTGGAACCGATGGAACACCCAAAGCAAAGATGGACTATAATGTGTAGATGTAACTTTTGTTGTGCTAACTAGAATGATCTGCAACAATGAAGGAGACTCATTCCTCATTGACTTGCATGCATATTTGTATCTGTACAGCTGCGTTGTACATAACAGATTAATACAAAATGTGTATAAGGTTGGGATAGCAGTTTGATTCAGTATGGCAGAAAGGACAGACCGACTTTGACCTTAATTCATTAATACGTCAGTTTACCCGAAATAAACCCAGAATTTGCTGCATTTTTACAACCCCCCCCCGCCCCCCCCCCCCCCCCCCCCCCCCCCCCCCCTGCTGTTCCCTCCCTTGAGCCTCAGATATACACAGTCCACCATTTTTGGCTCCACATGAACAATTTAAAATCTAAATTGTCACGAATCTTTTCAGGATCAGCTGTGAACATCATACCGGGCCGTTTCCTTCGACTCCTCATCTCCCTTTCTGATTTATTTTATGAAGTGCGCTACACTTCCCCTCGCTCCAGTTTTAAGGCTTTCTTTGGGTACAGCTCTGGATTTCTCTGCATGCCCCACTTTAATAATGCATCGCTCCCAAGCACGCAGCTCTAAGCCGTCCCATATAGCAGCAGCGAGCGCAGTAATAACAGTCTTTCGCAGGTTTAAAGGGACATTACACCATGGAGTAAAACATCTGTGAAGTGCAGCATGACCCAGAATACACAGTGGTAGAGAAGCGGGTCAGAGCCTAGTGTTAGTCTAGTGCTTCTGATGCAGATCAATAGAAAATGTTATGTATTTAGAGTAAGCAAGGCAGGGATAATCTGCCCTTACAAGATGGAGCTTTTGATAACAATTTCCATGAAGGCCGGATCTAAAGGGTATTATGGGTATCATTTAAAGCAGGGGTCGGGAACCTTTTTCCTCTCAAGGGCCATTTCGAATTTTTCAACATCCTCCGAGGGTCGTACAAATTATTGACCTCTGCTTAAAAAAAATAAAATCACAGCCCATTCATTTGCCTTTCTTTCATGCTGTGCAAAGAAAAAGCAACCTCTGAATCCAGATATCTCACCATGACTCGCGCATTCATGCACGTGCACGGTTGTGGCATGACCACCACAACAGAAAGATATGGACACAAGATGTGTGCAAATGTATTTAGTTTCCTATCCATGTGGACATGATTTAAGTGTGTGGGGGGGGGGGGGCATAACCTCCTCTAGGGGGGTAAAGTAAAGCATCAATCTGGTGCACTTTGAGAGCAACATGAAGAGATCTATGGATACATCTCTCAACACCCATATGAAACAGAACTGGAAGCAGATTTATTTTTCTTTATGGATATTTTACAAATCACTCCCCTTTCAAACTGTATTCCTGTTTATTAATAACAACTTTTTTTGACTGTCATATAGTATTTTATACCTGTTTACTTTATTCTCTTATTTTTTTTATAACTATAATGATCATATAAAGATGTGCCTTTACCTCACTGGTAGTAGAAAAAGCTTCTTATATTCGTTAGCATAGCTAGCTAACCAGATGCTAATAACAACAAAGTTATTGACTGTATGATCAGTGTGACAGATGAACAGATCGCCACTGGGCTTTCAACTAAAGACACAGCCACGCAAAAACTGCGGCATGTGTACGGCTCCTTATCTGAAGTGTCGGAGCCGTGTTCTGGTGCTCTCCGTCAGAACTGCACCCCTGTCACGGAGCGTCCACACAGCAGCGTGCGTTGACGCTTGGAGGTGGGCGTGTCTGAAGCTTGGGGATTTTATGCGAGCAACGCGACCAACAACCAATCACATGAATCTCCCGCCCCCGACATACAAAGCAATAGCAATGTTAAAACGAAGTAAACTGGATATAAAATCCCCAAACAGGCGAAAACCTACCAGTTTCACCCACTGTCTCTGCCACCTCCCTCCATGCCTCGCTCCTCTAGTTTGTATCCCGGTAGATGAACAGAGACTGATCATACAGCACCGGGTGATTCACTACCGCTATAATGAATTTTCCCTTTTTTTGAATATGAGGAAATGACCTGCGTAGTCTCTCCCAGCATACACGCGGTTTGATTGGCTAGCGCTTGTACTGGCAGATTTGCATAAACGGGATTTCATTGGCTGACGCCTCCGTCGAGGCGTCAAAAGTTGAACATTGCTCAACTTTTGACGCCAGCTACGCCAGCAACGCTCCACGTCGCTTCCCAAAATGCAGTTCGGCTAAAAGTGACGTCACCCCATTCAAAGTGAATGGGCAGAAGCGTTGGAAGCTTCAACGCACGCCGCTGTGTGGACGGGCCGTCAGACGAGACATATGCCACATGAAGACACGTTAGGCTCGTGTTGTGTTCAAGGACCCTGACCGTGGCCAGGAAAAACAGGCACTCTCTTGTTTATTTTTTTTGCGGTCTAGATTTCTTTAATTTTTTTCTTTTTTGCGTGTGTTTATAAATTACCTCGAGGGCCGTGCCAAATGGTCTCGCGGGCCGTATACGGCCCGGGGGCCGGAGGTTCCCCACCCCTGATTTAAAGTAACACAATGCTTCATGACAACACTTAATAAGCAACAATGAAATGTTAAGATGAAGCATGCTGTGGCTACATTTTTACTTTGGTATGTTTTTAAAAATATCTTTTTATTTTATTCTAACATGATGCAAATGTCGCAAAACCTAATCCCCCCCTCCTTGGGATTAATAAAGCATTTTGATTTACTGATTGATCATCAGTAAATGCATCAATATTGACTTATCGTTGTACATATAATGATACTGAATGGACTACTAAAGTATACTGTGTGATCTTTTTGTTACATTTTGAATATCATTCCATTAATAACTTGTCAAAAACATACATTAGACACCTATAATTCATTATACGCATCAATAATGTTGATTGACCGTTGATATAGTGCATCGGAAAGCCTTCTGTGTTTTTTGTATGCATGGTATAGTATGATCATTACAAATGCATTTTAATTCCTGAATGATTGTCTTCATACTGTATACTGCAGGGTAGCTTGTGGATTTACTCCAGGTGGAACTAAAGTCTGATTTAAGACTTGGTTATATTTCACATCATTCATCCAGATCTGTGAAGTAACTAAAGGTATTAAATACATGTAGTACACCATGTACCTCACAGTAATACAATGAAAATACTCCAGTAAAGTCTTCTAAATTGTACTTAAAGGTCTCCTATTATACTGTTTTTCATCAATATATCACAGGTCTCAGATATATCCAGAGCCTGTCTCTGATTGGCTGAAACACCAAACGGATCATTGCAGCATTACCCATAATCCCCTCTGTTTCAGCCCTGTTTCCAAAGAGCTGATTCTCTGTCTGTTACTTTAGATGAAAATAAGGAGCCCCTCCCCACGCCCCTCTGAGAGACATTTGGTTAGAAAGAACTCAATGGAGCTCTAGGAGGAGATTCAGGTGATAAGGGGGGGGGGGGGGTTACCTTGGTTGCTGATTGGCTAATGGTTACACAAGACAACACATCGTGATGACATCATAAAGTGGCCAAAATCTGATCAGCTCATTTTCAGACAGGTTTTTTTTTTTATAGAAATGGATCAAAAAGAGAGAGAATCTTTGTTCCTGACACTTTCAGAGTCTCTTTCCACAGAGGGGACACATGTTGATGTAGAAGAGACATGAAGAAGAGGGGACACATGTTGATGTAGAAGAGACATGGAGAAGAGGGGACACATGTTGATGTAGAAGAGACATGAAGAAGAGGGGACACATGTTGATGTAGAAGAGACATGAAGAAGAGGGGACACATGTTGATGAAGAAGAGACATGGAGAAGAGGGGACACATGTTGATGTAGAAGAGACATGAAGAAGAGGGGACACATGTTGATGTAGAAGAGACATGAAGAAGAGGGGACACATGTTGATGTAGAAGAGACATGAAGAAGAGGGACACATGTTGATGTAGAAGAGACAGGAAGAAGAGGGGACACGTGTTGATGTAGAAGAGACATGAAGAAGAGGGGACACATGTTGATGTAGAAGAAACATGGAGAAGAGGGGACACATGTTGATGTAGAAGAGACATGAAGAAGAGGGGACAGATGTTGATGTAGAAGAGACATGGAGAAGAGGGGACACATGTTGATGTAGAAGAGACATGGAGAAGAGGGGACACATGTTGATGTAGAAGAGACATGAAGAAGAGGGGACACATGTTGATGTAGAGGAGACATGAAGAAGAGGGGACACATGTTGATGTAGAAGAGACATGAAGAAGAGGGGACACATGTTGATGTAGAAGAGACATGAAGAAGAGGGGACACATGTTGATGTAGAAGAGACATGAAGAAGTGGATAGTGCACAATAGGTGACCTTTAAGTAGAGTACTTGAGTACATCTACTTAGTTTCTTCCCACCTCTGCTCTTGGTGAACAACTTCCAGGTCGATGTTCTCCTCTAATTGTTGTTCCCTTGTTGTGATGTAATGGGTTTAATAAAAAGTGTCCTCACCCCTTCTCCTTCGTCTCCCACCTTCCAGTCCTCCTGCTCCAGCTCGTTGTAGAGCGCCTCTCGACTGGTCATCAGGTTCTGCCGCCGGATCTCACTCGTCCGCTGCTCCCACACCGACTTGCCGCCCTTAATGTTGTTCTTCTGCTGCTCCTTACTGCGGGTGGAGACACAAAGATGGAGGGTAGAGGTGGAGGAACGTGAACATTAAAGGACTAAAACCACCAGACTGAGGGACAGTTTCATCCCACAGGCCATTAGACTACTAAACACCTGAACTTTTGAAACAACATCAATAACATTTATCTGTTTGTATCTCATATACATCAATATTCCAATTACTTGTATATAGACTATTCTGCACTATTTCTATTCTATTTTATGTACTTACTTGCACTATTATCTGTGTTATTGTGTTGCACTTTAGGAGGAGCCTGTGACCTCAGACCTTCATTTTCATAACCACACTGTAGCTATGACAATAAAAGCCTTGAACCAACATTGGTAAAGGCAAACAAAATGGCAGATAAATAGGGAAAGCATTAGAAGCAGTAAGAGTAAGTCCTAAAAACAACATTTTAAAATACTTCTTGCTTACCTTGGATGCTTATTTAGTTCATGTTCATTTGGTTAATTGGTATGTATGCATGTATTGTAGTCTAAAACATTATCTACACTGTCCACCTTGCTGTATTTATTTGAACAAGTACCATGCATACAAATACATTAAACTCAGAAAAGACAAAATGTATTTTATGTCAGATTTGAGCTAATAGCTCAGTTCCATCTGCAGTCTTGAGGTAGGTACATAACAAACAATACACACTAAAAACATTGCATAATCTCTGTCACACAAACAATTATTAAACAAGATTAAAGAACCGGTCAATTCAATGATATATAGTACAGTTCAAATATAATATTACGATACAATTACAACTCTGATTACAGTGTAATTACAGTGTAATTCATATTGTCAATATCCAAAAAGAGTGAAAGTCCGTGCAGGTTTTAAGCTCATCTGGAAGAATATTCTGTAACATTGTAGATGTTGCCGCTGGGGGACAAATAAAGGACGTCTGATATCAGCTCGATACGAAAGGAAATGACTTCAGTAGAAGACAGAATAAGGCACATTTGGCTATAAAAGTATAACTGCAATTTCAACGTGTGATTGAACAAAATCTGAAGTGAGAAATCGAACAATGACACCCATAGAGCTCCAGAACCAGGAGCAGTGCAAACAACATGCAGTGTGTTCACATTGAATATGCATTACACTGTCCTCTAATGAAAAGTTGTACATGTCTATTTCAGAACCATACATTACAACAACAAAAAGGTCGCCAACGTCTTTTATACATAACATTAGATAACATCTCCTCTTGTGGTTCGATGGTCTTATTTTCCAGGGCGTGTTTAAACACACAATACTTGCAAATAGTGCATGTGTTACTTGCGCCAAAGTGACGGCAGGATATAGAAGGATAATTCTTGCAGACTGCAATGTGAGTAACTAACCCTTGGCCATAAGATATACATTTATTACTGAATCAACTATGTAGAAGTGCTATGACTGACATAAAGCATACGATTGACACGTCCTAATTGACAAGCAGAACTGCAGCACAAAAACCTGCAGCTTCTAATCTTGCGATCAAAGTCCGGAGACTTCTAAAGGAACAGCGGGGTTTTTGTGAGCGGCGTTTTGAAGCGTCCCATTGTCAGCGTTTCTGCTGCCAGGAGCAGATTCTACAGCCTCTCTCCACAAAGAGCGAATCTGTGCCTTTCACTCGCAGAACAATCGCTTAATCATATTTTAGAGGATGAGAACGCGGGGAGAGTGTGATGGTGGGTGTGTGTGTGTGTGTGTGTGTGTGTGTGTGTGTGTGGTGTGTGTGTGTGGTGTGTGTGTATGTGTGTGTGTCTGTATGTATGTGTGTGTCTCTGTGTGTGTGTATGTGTCTCTGTGTGTGTGTGTGTGTCTGTGTATGTGTGTGTGTGCCTGCCAATCACAGTTGTTAGGAAAGACACAGTGCTTTCTGTGTGTGTGCAATTATACAAATAACGGCGAGAAAGAAAACTTTAACTTAGTCTCTCTTAAGGGGAATCTTAAGGAGTTTAGTCTCTCTTAAGGAGAATCTTATGGTGTTTAGTCTCTGTTAAGGAGACTCTTAAGGTGTTTAGTGTTTCTTAAGGTGTTTAGTCTCTCTTAAGGAGCATCTTGAGGTGTTTAGTCTCTCTTAAGGAGCATCTTAAGGTGTTTAGTCTCTCTTAAGGAGCATCTTAAGGTGTTTAGTCTCTCTTAAGGAGAATCTTAAGCAGTTTAGTCTCTCTTAAGGGGAATCTTAAGGTGTTTAGTCTTTCTTAAGGTGTTTAGTTTATCTTAAAGGGATAGTGGAAATGGAACCTCAAATAGTTTCGTTTTAACTTGTATACAAGCATAATTACGTACCAAAACAATCACACCTGATTAAAAATATATAATAATTGCCTTACGCATGTTAGAAGCACTTTATTGCAGCTTCCCCAAAGTTTTTTAGAAACGAAATGTTCGACTCAGCCAAACCGGAAGTGACGAAAACTTAGGAAGACGATTACGATAACAAACCATGGCGTCTATGCAGAATGAACGTGGAAGGGCAAATATACCAGACAAAGAAGAAGGATTGTACGAGGTATCCAGTGATGATAGCGAGTCAGAAACATCCTCTCGGCTTTCCTACGAAAATGTCGTTTTAGGAACTGAATCTGAATCCGGTTCAGTAAGCGACGATGGTGACAATATTGAGCCAGACGATGGACCATTACGTCCTTATTTGTTCGAGCCCGAGGTGATGGTTCACGGCATGGGCAATGGCGAGGATGACCAGGACCAGGCGCCAGATGATGCACCCCTACGCACAAATAATCTTGACTGGTAGGTCCCTAAGCATAGCTCACGCATCTTAAGATCACCTGTAGCCTTTACAAATATTAATCATTGTTAACCAGTTAAGCCCGAAGGTCCCCCCAGTGGACCCCTCCCACCGTTTTTTTTCTCTCACATGTCTCAGGGCTTCTTAACATTTATGAAACTATTAATGTTTCATACCCTTTTAAAGGTAAGAAACTCCGCTAACTGACAATAAGAACAATTGTTAGCTAGAAAAAACACAAGAGTAATACCAAGACTTTGAATTAGCATTGAGCTAAACAATGCTAACTAATGCTAACGCTTTTTTACACACAACACACGGTAGAAATGCCCTTATATTACTATCTTAACTGCACAAACAAGATATACGATTTAAAGCTGAGACTCCACAGATTCCACACATGTAATGTCATCACTGTAAAACCTCGAATTCCTGGAGCTATCAGCCAGAAAAGAGAAAGTAAACAACATCCGGTTCCAAAAATATTACAATAATTACGTCTTACCTTTTTTGATTTGTGATCAAAAGTTGTGTTCAACGGAATAAAAACGCATCTCAAGGTTAATCCAATGTCGTTGTGTCACGTAGAATGTTTTACTGATAATCAATCATCATATTTATGGCAATATACTCGGCTATTCACATGCAAATGCTATTGAATGTCCGCCATTGTTTGTGCCCGTCTTCCTGAGCTCTCGTCATCACCCGAAGATTCCCGACGATTCCCGAAGTATTTTGTTTCATTGAGAGGGCGCAGTAAAATTGAAAATAAAATGAAACTAGGCGCATGAAATTAAAAAAAATTGTTTATTATGCTTATTTTTAATAAAAATACACAAGTTAAACCCAAAATTCGCGGATTTCCACTATCCCTTTAAGGAGAAGCTGAAGGTGTTTAGTCTCTCTTATGGCCCTTACATACCGAGCCGATTTTCGGCGTCGATAGATGTCGGGCTGTCGATGAGCGTCGTGTCGCCCTACTCAGATTGGTGTGTCTACACCGTCGTGTCTTTTCGGCCGTGCCGACACCTTCCCCCGCCATTTCGACATGTTGAATCGGGAGGCCGTCGGCCAAAGAAATTACTCTGATTGGCTGTTCAGTTTAGCGAATCAGTGCATGAGAAGCGAACGGAAGTGAGGGACTGTGGAGTCTATTTTATATAACATTACAAGACTGATTCTTATTATTACATGATATGCTTATTGTGCTCATGAGATTGCTATGACTATAGAATAAATAGACACAATCACTAATCCCAGGTTCTGATGGGTTAGATACCAACGAGGGGAATAGTCAGAAGAAAGTTTAGCTTGCAATATTGAAAATAGCAAGGTCGAGTGGAGACTGAGAGAACACAAAGAGGTAGTCAGAACAGCACATCGCACCGGCCTTGACTCTGTATGGGAGCCGCGCTCCCCCGCAAAGCTAGGAAGCAACATTATGGTTTCCCGCTATATCTGAAGAAACGTTAGAGAAAACAAATGAGTATGATGGCGCCAGAGTAGGGAGGGACTTCCACAGGCCGGCCGAATGCTGATTGGAGGATCGTGTTGCCAAGAGACTCTGAGTCTGCGCACCAACCAAAGAGAACCAAGTCTACACCGCGGTATCTCTTCAGCTAGTCTTGACCAATCGTAAATGTACGGGCAACGCCCTGTGTAATAAAATGTATTGTCGCACGAGGTTCGAGGCTCTTGACGGATTTGGTGGTTACAGATTACGTGATGAGTCCTTGGCCAAGTGATATATATATTTTGTTCTCTTTACAATAAATAGTTCAACTTGAATTCTGAACCCAACAGGACCCAAACAAACTATTAAGAAGGCAAATCTGAGATTTCATTTAACTCCAGCTCTCGACTCAGGTTCGGGAAAGCCCCGTGAGCTTCTCGCTGTAGAGGGAAAATGGAACGCGCTATTTGTTGTTTGTTTAGATCACGCAGTCTGTCTTCTTCTCTCGGTTATCACGCAGTCTGTCTTCCGGTTGTTGCCTCTTTTGAATGACGAATACACACTACCGCCGCCTGCTGGTAAGGAGAGTTATTGCCACTCACGCATGCACAGTTCGTACGTGCTTCTTGGCCGTTGGCTGAAGTCTTTGCGGTGTGTTCCAGTGCGACTGTTGGCCAAGACGCAGGAGACGCGAGGCGACGTGAGCCGACGTTCCATCGGGACGTGTTCTTTGGTGTCAGTTTGGTGTGTAAGGACC